ACCTTTAAAAAACTGTTTCCAAACACACTCCTACATCCTACTAATAGGCCATTTTTCAGTTTTACCAAAGAGTCTTTTAAGTGTCTGGGATACGCTAAAGTTAAAGTGCAATTTAGAGGCAAAACCAAGTTTTTGAATCTATTTGTTGTAGATTTTCCATGCGACAGTATTTTTGGTCGTGAATGGATCGTTCACTTTGCAGAATTCTTGTCCTTTGATAAACTTTACAGCGTAAAGCAAGTTCAAACAAGTAACCCCCACTTAACACCCAATGTTCAACATCGATTGCAAATACTCTTACAGAAACATCATCAAATTTTGGATGAAACTGCTGGGACATTAGAAGGTCCTCCTGAAAAATGGCACTTAGACAAAGATGCAAAACCAGTCTTCGCACGGGCTCGCCCACTTCCCTACACTATGCGTGAGGCTTACGCTCAAAATATTGAGAAAAAGTTACTATCTGGCCACTATAAAAAAGTCACACATTCCAGATGGGCTTCTCCAACTCATGTAGTAGTGAAAAATGGGAAACTAAGAATTACCGGCGACTATAAATCAACCGTCAATCCACAGCTGATAGCAGATGAGTATCCGATTCCCAAAGTAGAAGAAGTTTTTCATGGAATGAAGGATGCCAAAGTTTTTTGTAAATTAGATGTAACTGATGCCTTTATGCATCTCGTTTGTAATGATGAATCGTGTGAATTGATGACCCTGAATACTCCTACTCACGGTCTGATTAGGCCCACCAGGGCACAATATGGGTTAACACCCGTCCCTGCTGTATGGCAGCGTAGGCTCCATTCGCATCTTCAAGACATTGAAGGCGCAACAAATTTTTTTGATGATATTTTGCTCTATGCCAGTTCTGTAGAAGAAATGTTTCTCATTTTAGCCAAGGTTCTGGATCGCCTAGAAAAGATTGGTATCAAACTCAACCGACCCAAATGCCAGTTCTTCCTAGATTCTGTTGAATTTCTGGGCCATAGGATCGATCAGCATGGACTCCACAAACTGGACAAACATGTTAATGCTATAGTAAACGCCGAAAAACCTCAAAACGCTGATGAACTCCGAACATTTCTGGGTAAAGTAACCTACTACCATTCTTTCATACCAGACCTTTCCACAATCACTCATCCTCTCAGAGAAATACTGAAACATAAAATTTTCAGTTGGACTCAAGAAGGCCTTGCTGCTTTCAACAAACTGAAGGAAATTTTGATCTCTGACCAAGTATTGACTCCATATGATCCAAAACTGCCGATTACATTAGCAGTCGATGCCAGTCCCTTCGCTTTAGACGCAGTTTTATCACACTCCCTACCGGATGAAACGGAGAGACCCATTTCATATGCGAGTAAAGCTCTAAATAACGTGGAGAAACGGTACCCGCAGGTTGATAGAGAAGCTCTTGCTATTGTGTGGGGAGTAAAAAGGTTTTTTGAATACTTGTATGGTCGGAAATTCACCTTGTATACTGACAATAAACCTGTGTCTCATATCTTCGCACCAAATGCTCTCCTTCCAAAATTTACTTTATCTCGTTGTGCAAACTATGCATCCTACCTGTCCAACTTTAATTACGACATCAAATTCAGGCGTTCAACTCAAAATTGCAATGCTGATTATTTGTCTCGTATCCACAGCTTCAGCGTACCTTCCTCATCTTTCGATGATTTTGATATTTTTATTCTCAACCAAATTGAGCTACTTCCTGTAACGTCACAGCTAATTGCAGCAGAAACAAGGAAAGATCCACAACTTTCACCGATTTTGCTAGCAATCCAACAAGGGAAGGACTTAACCTCACTTGGTTACACCGGACGGCAAGCAGAATATACGCAGGCTTGTGATTGCCTTTTATGGGGTCACCGTTTAGTAATTCCAGCTAAATTGCAAAAAAGAATATTAGAAGAACTGCATCTTGCGCACTCTGGCATTACAAAAATGAAAAGCCTTGCCAGATCAATCGTGTACTGGCCAAACATTGATCAAGATATTGAGCAACTCGCTAAAACCTGTGAGCCGTGTCTCAGTCGCAGCAAAGCTCCTCCAAAATTCTCGCATCCATGGGAATACCCAACAGCTCCTTAGGAGAGAATTCACATAGACTACGCAGGTCCAATTTGTGGCAAATACTTGCTCATCGTAGTGGACGCTTACTCCAAATGGTTACAGGTTTTCCCTTCTCAGTCCATGACTAGTGAAGCAACCTGTAAGCTACTCTCAAACACATTCTCCCTGTTCGGTGCTCCGGTCACAGTCGTCTCGGACAACGGTCCTGCTTTTGTCTCCAACCATTTTCAACAATTCCTAAAATCACAAGGAATCCTATTTCACAAAAAAATAGCGCCATACCATCCGGCAACCAACGGACAAGCAGAGCGAGCGGTACAAACCGTCAAGAATTCTTTAAAATACATGGCGGCAACAATCCACACCCTCCAAGACTCCTTACACACCATTGTTCAACGATATAATAGAACACCTCATCAAGCAACGGGACAACCGCAATCCTTACTCTTCATCGGCAGAACAACCCGAACTCGGCTTGATGCTATGCATCCGAATCTCAGAGTCATGGTTAATCAACGACAAGACAACAGCTTTCCAAAGAAGCTCCGTTCCTTCAGAATAAATCAAGAGGTTATGTTTCGGTCATACAATAGTCCGAAACCCTGGCTGCGAGGTGTGATTTCTGCAAAACTCGGTGCCTTGCACTACCTGCTCAAATACAAAAACCAAGAACACAAGCGTCACATTGACCAATTACTGTCTTGCAGAATCACTCTTGACCACCCTTCACCGTCTAATTGCAACACTGATGTTCCGAATACTGCTGATGCAACGACCAGAAAACGGGTAAAATTCTTTCCTGTATCCAACGCAACCTCTAGCCCTCAACCGGAGTCTACTTTTATTCAAACCTCACCACTTGTTTTTTCTGATAGGTCAAACTCAACTCCTTGTACAACTTCACATGATGCAATTTCAAACTCAGCTATTCAATCCTCTCCGAAGAACTCAGCTATTCAATCTTCTCCGAAGAACTCATCCATTCAATCTTCTCCGAAGAACTCATCTATTGAATCTTCCCCGAAGAACTCATCTATTCAATCTTCTTCGAAGAACTTATCAATTCAATCTTCTCCGGGAAATTTATCTACTCAACCACAGTCTACTTCTAACCAACCTTCTCAAAAAGGCTCACCGACCCAGTCAACTTCAGATTCTAGCTCTTCACCCGATGTTTCACCACAACATCTCAAGTCACCGATTAGTCAACATGCAGAATCCTCTAGTCAATCTATCAACGTTACTCCTAAAAATGTACCTATATCAAAACCCAACAAAGGTCGAGGCAGAGGTGTTTCTAAAGCCACCAAAAAACAATTTTCAGTTAAACCTGGTGTTTCGACTTTTGGTCGCATTGTTAAACCTAAGGAACCATACTCTCCAGAGTAACAAATTGAATTATTGCTCTTTCACTGTAACACTGTTAAATAATTTTAAGATTCTTATTTTTCTGTTCCATTAGAAAAAATTTATTAACATAAATTTTTTTCTTCGCACTCTTGCGGAGATTGTGGTATCCGTCAAGTTGGTAGTATGTATTGCTAGGGAGATTTGCCCTAGTAGGTCGTGAAGCCTGGTTGGGCACTAGTTAGCTTATCAATAAAATGTGATCTTCTTCTTAGACCAGTGTCTCGCTTTTCACCTTTCCCTTCAAAGGCATCTTCTGCGATATTATAAGGCGAACAAAATAATAATTAAAAAAGAACAAGAACGAGGGATCAACCATTGGGTGAACACATAATGGGTGACTATAATTTGGAAAAAACTTCGCGCACTCAATAGAGAAAAACTAAATGATAAATAAAATATCATTCGAATAACTTCACTTAAATTCCTGCAACTCCTTTAAGTGTGTTTTCCTAATTTTCACGAACTTATTACTAAATAAACAACGGAGAACCCGACAGTTCCCATAAGATGCCATGTATTTTAGTTTTTACCATGGATTCCTAACCTCTTTTTGCGCTGAAAGGTATGGGTAGGTGGTATTGGTGAGACTACCAATAATTACTAATTAGCCATTAATTCTTCAAGTTTAAAATCCACAACCATCTAGAAGATAATTATTGCATATTATAAGCTGGCCATCAAAATTACTGTTTCGGTTAGATTGCCGATTAGCTTCGTCAAATCCGTGCTTCCCTCCTTGATCACAATTCAAAGTGTTAAATGGGTCAGTTGCGTTAGTCTCAGAATTGTATTTTGATGACATCAGATTACAGATCAGCAAAAAATGACAAGATCTGTCCAAAACCCAAGTTTTCTTGTCCGATACCAGCGAAGATATTCCTCTTCAAATAGCATGGCATATGACGTCATCCATCACAGTAGTGCATACTATAGTTTCTTCCACCTTGGTTTCATCTATGATTTAAGTAGAACTACCAATACAAATGTGTACATCACTATTTGATTGATCAAAGGTGGACGGGACCATGGTGTAAGCTACCGCAGTGGATGACATCATACACTGTGTTTTTAAAAGGGCAATATTTCCATTAATACTGGATGGAAAAACTAAGCATCTGGACAAAACTGATTTCTTTTTGCTAATCTATGAGCTGAAACCATCAAAATGCACTCCTGTGACCAGCGCAACTGACCCATTACAAAGGATTCACCTCAATTAGAAATTTTAAAAGATACAATACAAAAAGTCAGCGTCATTGACTCATTGTTAAGAGTCTGGGTAATACTTCTGGTAACAAGTCTTCGTTGAAGGCACCAAAATCCATACTCCTAATTAGCAGGCTTTTAGCTAATACAGGTCAATGGACTGCCACATCAGTAAATTTACCCACGTCTATTGATAATAATAGGCAGGAAAAATCTCAGTGTTTAATATGACCGCAGCAAATGATGATCTTCAGATACAAGATTTGATTAATTTCTGAAGCAGTCAAGCTACATAGAGGTCTTACCAGCGAGTAATGCAGCTGCAGATTTTGCTGTAGTAGTTGTTGATCCTTGCTCTTTTTCCAGCTGGCGTCCTAGATACTCCCTGAAATAAAACACAAATAAAAAATTAACGACATAATTAATTAAGACAATTTTACTCCTTCAGTGTGTACGACAGGTATAATCCTTGACTCCAGTAGCAAAATATTTATATGCACGCAATAGTCATTTACCATTAACATGGATCTACTGAAAGTCTAATACAGTGCTCTCTGTAGTGGATCTCAAGGGACCCGATGATTCATATGGTACAGAGAGACACCTACTGGACAGAGAGGTTAATACATGTATTTAATACAGGAAAAGGTGGGTGAATTTATCCTTTGCGGAGTTTTCTGTTACAGAGAAAGAGAATTACAGAAGATTGGGCAAAAAAAGAGAAAGGAAAATAGTTGATATGATTGGCAGGTTCTATACCCCACGAGTAGCTTATATCTCTTTTGTTAAGGTGTGCATTATGACATGCTCAGTATCCATGCAGCTTTCTTGTGATCACCTGCAAGTGTCACTTATGATTCAAAATGAAAGAAAAAGGAGAGAATAAGAGGGGCCGAAATGATTGAAGGACTGGTCACCATTAAAAGTTGGCTTGCTGGGCATTAAAGAACGGGTTAAGGGTTTAAAGTTCTGCACTCAAAGAACACAGAGATGTTCCTTCAAAGAGAAAACTAATAATTGGCTTTAGTCGTTGAGACAATACGGCCACCGCAAATATGAAGTATTTTTTCAAATACTGGGATCACTATGAATTAATCATTTCCCAAAGCATCGCCATCACTCTCCAGATCACTAAAATGTTGGTGAAGGCCGCTCACAGGTCTAATAACGAGTGGGAAAAGAGAGAAATGCGAAGATTTGAATAGATGAGGGAAGAGCACAAAGTTTTCAGTGAAAGGCGCATGTTTGAAACTTTGATTTTTGATTGAAAAAGATTTGAAACATAGTTGCCAGGTTGTCTCAACATACTATCCTCTTGCTGAGGTTTTCAAAATAACATTGAACTGAAACAAATTGCTTCAAAGGTTTATAAAATGATTTATTTTTTCAACACCTAAAGTAGTTAGCCAATTGGTAGAGGGGTGACGACTGTCGTGGTTCTAGTGCAGAATCCATTTGCTGTATCTAAAGTTACAATTCTGACCAATCTATCTTATCCAAGGTGACACTTGGCAATTTCTACTACTTACCAGCAGATAGATGGTAAAAATCTGTCATTCATCGTCACTTCTGTCATTGGTCAAAATTAAATGTAATATGACAATATTTCCGGAAAATTGATCAAAATATAAAGTTGAGAACTTTTTTGAGAGAGAAAAAATAGCCAAAAATTATGGTACTGAAAATCAGATATATATAATTCTTAGGGAAACTACTTAGAATAAACCTCGATTAAGTATAGATTTCTGGTTTTGTTAAGTTATGGTAACATTGGAATACTACTGTATCTTCGTGAATTGATGTTTAAAAATTTCGGAGCGTTGATAAAATTTGGAAACTTTCACGAAATTAAGCAGTGCCGATTAATAGTGTATATGTACGTAAATCGATCAGTGTTGAGAAAATTCGGCATTTTTGTGAAATTAGCCAATGTTGATAAAATTTGAAATTTACTTTAATTTAAAAAAATGTAGTCAACATTTACATTTTCATAAATATTGCAATGTTGGTAAAATTAATTTTTTTTCTTTTATTTATTGGTTAGAAGCATAGGGGACTACAATGAGTACAAAGTATTCACCCTTAACTTAGAATTCATAAAATTTGACTGCGTTGGCAAAATTTCAGAGCTCCAGTTTCAAAGCAATGTGGCAGTACGGTTGCAACATGTGTCAACTGTACTGGAACATGTCATAATTTTTTTACCGATAATATAATTTGAAATCAGTCCTAACATCTAACATCTAAATTATAGTCTATTTTAAAGCATGCTAAAGCACAAGAGAATGCATTGAAGTACATCCAAAAGTGCATTGCTCAAATACCTATCAGATACCTAGCTCAAACTTAATGAGACCTAGGTTTTGAGTACCTAAATGCTAGAATAAAAACCAATGAATCTTAGAAAAATCGACACGAGTAAAAAAATAGGACTGGAAGTACCCAAATAGCCCATTTAATCACACAAAATAATGAAAAATATGAATGAGCCATAATTGATTTTCACGAGTGCAAGTATTCAAAATACTTGGTTACAAGTCGTATTTTGAGCATGTTGTGCTTCTTTGACCACAAAAATGCAATACCTTTGGTTTTACTCCATAGCTGAAGATTTAAACCACACTCAATTCATGCAGAGGGCATGTGACATCATCAAAGTGATGGCCATGCATGTATCATTTTTACTCATACATGCAATGTATGCCTTTTTTATGTATATATTCTAGTTTCCCTGCATGTTGCCGAATTCCTTTCAAAAATCGAATTTTTAAGAAAATTTGTATTTATTTTACTTCTGATTTTTCAGAGAAATTTGTCCGTAATTTGATTTAAAGTATAAAAGTTACGAGAAAATATATTCATAGCTTTCCTTAAAAATAAATATTTTCTGAAACACTTATGTGGCATTTTCACTCAACATTTTCACTGGCAGGTGGTCAAGTTGAATTTACATCCAGATAATAGTTAAATACACAGATCCCATGACTGTTAAAATAGATACAGTAAAATTCAGCCTTATTTAGTACCTACATTTAGAAACCTTAGTCATCATCCGCCCAAAATATCACAAGCCTTATTAACGCTTAGAAGGTGTGTTGCTGGACAATTCAATATTGTTTTAATTTTGCTTTAAAACTTTTGCGCATACTTTCATAAAACAGAAATTATTCTTGACGGCGGAAGAAATATTGGGTAAAATTTTCAAGTGATTCTGTTGATCAGTTTTTCCGTAAAAGATTGAAAAGTTTAAGATTTGGCAACATGGTGCCTAAGCACAATTGACGCTTGTAATACTTGAGCCAGAAGATGAAGATAAGACTATAACTTAGCAGTGGATGGTGACAAATGATAAAGAGTTTTGGGCAGATACCGACGATTCTCCTCAGGCACACACAGCATCGAAAGCTCGACGCACTATGACGTCATTCTTTCATCCATGTTAATCAGGTGAGTTTTTCTCATTTTTTTTATACATATTTCATGTGGTTTTAAATGTTTTTAGGCGTTTTTTATTCTTACGGCGTTTTCAGTATCCAGCACAAGCTCCCACCATGATTTATCGGTGATCAAAATATTACTGTAGGTAAAACTTCTGGATTTTGTTAAAACAAAGAATAAGATAGAGCAGGTAAAAGTTATTCATTCATCATTTGACTGATTCAGATAATTTTAACTTCATATGGGACAGGGTTCTATGAAACTGATCCAAGCCTATCATACTTTCTTATTAAACATTTGAGAGGATGTGAAAGGGCTGCCTGTGCCCAGAAAATTAAAAATTTGAGGGTTTCAAAAGAGTAAAAAGGGCTTTTTTTTAATGCAGATTGCAGTGGAACGCGGTGAATCACAATGAACATCGGTTTTTTTTTATTCCGTTCCTCAGCCGTGATCCAAGCGTTCCAGGTGGATCAGGGTGGAACGCTGGATCGCTCTTCCGAGGTGGGGCGAGCTTGCGATCCACTGTGATCCTTACCTAATGCAAGGAAGTTGCCGTCCCCAACAAATCAAAACTGTCCCTGATCAAAACAATAATAAATCAGACCAAATTTCAAGTTTGGATTTTTATTATCACTTTGAACACTTTGGATAGGTCCGGATCGCTCAGGATTCCGATCCAGTGCGTTCCACTGCGATCCACCCTGATCCGCGATAAAAAAAAGCCCTGAAGCAACAATGGAACACAACAAAAACACAAAAACAGGGTCCTGAAAGGGGAAGGGGCTAAAACACTAATTGCACCATCAAAAAATCATTGAAAAATACAAGCCTCGAACAAATTACTGCAAAAAAATATTGAGGAGCTATAAAAGTCGAGGTGAAGGAAGTAAAATTTTCTCTAATTTATGGTTTGGCAGGGTGTCTACTGAGGTCCACAAAAACTAAATAAGTACTTTTGAAGTACTTTACAGGTACTTAAGGAAAAATTTAAGTACCTTGCTTTGGAGAAAAATTAAGTACTTTTTAAGTACCTTTTTGCGACGCATCGCAATTCTTCGATTTTGGCACTGCCGCACACTTGACTTCGGCTATTCCCGTGGCCCCTTCGGCTGTTTCCGTCAAATCGAGGGAAATGCCTTGTTCCGCTCCTCTACAACAACCGCGTTCTTACAGGCTGACATTGTACTAATACGCCTGACTGCCAACGCACAGAGGGTTGCATAACTATAAGGCGATCGAACTGAACGCGCAGCACAAAATGCGAAAAATTACGGACCCTCGGCGAGATTTACGTACTTTTAAGGTACTTACGGACCGACCTTAAAAAATGCGTACTTTTTCCGGACATTCCGGACTGGTAGACACCCCGTTTGGGTTCCATTTCTTCAAATAAGTTGGTTCCTCGTTATTTTAATGTCTATGCAATATTTTCTTTGAATTCGCTCAAGAAATACAATATCCTCAAATGATGTTCTATTTTAAAAAAAAAAAAAAAATTAATAAATTGGGCAGCCAGTAGTGAAAGCTTGAAAAACAGACAATTTTGGACACTCTTAATAAACCCAAGTACAAACTGCATAAGGCAATAAACTGTGAGTAAAAGGGGCTAGAAATTTTATATTTCATTGAATATTTATAAAATCGGTTGAGTAAAATATTTCGAACAAAGTTTTGAGATACTGAAAACAGGTGAGAAAACAGCATTGAGAATTTTCTTAGTTGCACATATCACAGCAAAATTTGAAAAAGAATGCATTCATAGCAATCATTCCATTGTTAATTCGTTTAAATAATTTGCACGTGCTATCATAATTCAAGGACATGGTTATTGTAGCTGGCATTGATCACTAATCTACAAAATTCAAACGTTGCTACAGGACATTGCTTGGTTACCATTAGAAATACATTTGAGCAATTAATGTAAAGTCATGGAATGGAATCAACGTGGAATGGTAAATGATGGTAAATGATCTATGTTCAGTGGTAAATGTTGTCGAGCATTTCAACATCAGCTATAAAATCACACACCTGATTCCAAAATTTTAATATGTAGATCATTCCAAGCACTGAGCGAGCAAAATCATTACTCTCCTGAACCAGGCCTTTGACCTTCCAGAAGTTAGAGGAGTGATTCTGTTCTGCCTTTCTTATAGAGGGCTGTTACCTCCTAGAAGTCGCCGGTGATCATTACAGCGTTTGATCAGCTAGGCAGTTACCAAAGAGTACATACAGTCTTCAATTACATAAACTCTAAGCTCACTTACTTTTTATAGACTAAAGGACAATTGTTACGGAGCTGCACACTCCATCTTCAGCTTCATCACGACTGATCCTTGTTGATTAACCCCAGCAGTCCATCCTCAATTTCATCGAAAATGTCATTCGTCAAACGGTAAGAATGTCAGAGCATGTAAACCAAAACTTCTCCGAAGAATTGTTTTTAAATCTTGATTTAATTTAAAAATTGTCAATTATTACTTACTGTTTGCCTCGTGAATAGTGACAGACGTATTCATCAACATCAAAGGATGCAACGCTGAACACCAAAGCATCCTTGGAAGTATCAAGTAAAGAGACCAGACAGCAAAGAAGCTCATAGTTGCGCTCATTCAAACGTGCTGCATTTTCTCTCCAGAATTCAGCAGACCAGTGGACTAGAGACCTCTCTAGTCACCCACATTTTACTTCAGTGGCATATTCATCAAAAGAACTATAAGTAAAAATGAAAAAAATTATTTCAAATTGCAGTATTTACTTTCTTGATAGTAAATACTAGAGTACCTATATAGCGAGAGTATGGACAGATTGCTTCATGGAGGGCTTAGGGCCTAAAAGTGCAGCCACCCTTTTAACCAACTTCTAACACACAAAATTTCACTGCCAGTCTGCAGATTTCAATTCTAACCAAGATGGCTAAGAATGTACATAAATGAGCGTTCTTCCGCAAAAATGAGTAAATTTGTGCAAAAACTAAGTCAAATACGTGCTTTGTAAACGATCGTTTGTAACAATTATATTAGTAAATCCCTCTGGATAATTGAAATTCATAGGTTGGCTGCATTTCTGGGCCCTAACTTTATTCGCGGAGGCATCGGTGAAGGCCTGATGGATTTCCGGAGTTTCGCATCAGTCTATACTC